TGGCTCTTGGCCGGAGGTTTGGCACATCTTTGGCCTTACTTTGAATCTGGCTTTCGTGGAGAAACATAGAAACATAGAATGTGACGGCAGATAAGAACCATTCGGCCCATCTAGTCTACCCAATTTTCTAAATATTTTCATTAGCCTTATCTTATAGTTAGGATAGCCTTATGCCTATCCCACGCATGCTTAAACTCCTTTACTGTGTTAACCTCTACCACTTCAGCTGGAAGGCTATTCCATGCATCCACTACCCTCAAAGTGAAGTAATACTTCCGGATATTATTTTTAAACCTTTTCCCCTCTAATTTAAGACTATGTCCTCTTGTTGTGGTAGCTTTTCTTCTTTTAAATATAATCTCCTCCTTCACTGTGTTGATTTCCTTTATCTATTTACCTCCTGGAACATCAACCCTGTTGCAAGTCTTAGTATTATCAGCAAAATTACATATCTTACCACCAAGACCTTCTGCAACATCACTAATAAAAATATTAAACAGAATGGGTCCAAGTACAGATCCCTGAGGTACCCCACTGGTGACAAGCCCATGCTTCGAATATACTCCATTGACTCTGTTGCCTGTCACTCAGGTACTGCCTTACCCATTCAACAATATTGGAATCCAAACTTAAAGATTGCAGTTTACTGATAAGCCTTCTATGTGCAACAGTGTCAAAAGCCTTACTGAAATCTATGTAAGAAATGTCTACTGCACCACCCTGATCTATAATTTTAGCTACCCAATCAAAAAAATCAATAAGATTAGTTTGGCATGAAGTAAACCCATGTTGTCTCTGATCTTGAATTCCATGTGTTTTTAGATGTTCAACAATCCTATCCTTTAACATGGTTTCCATTACTTTCCCCCCTACTGAAGTAAGGCTTACTGGCCTATAGTTGCCCGACTCCTCCCTACTACCTTCCTTGTGAATGGGAAAAACATTTGCTAACTTCCAATGTTCTGGGACTACTCCTGTTAACAATGATTGGTTACATAAATTTGTTAATGATTTTGCTAGAACACCACTAAGCTCTTTTAATAACTTTTGGTGTATTTCATCAAGCCCCATTGACTTATTTGTCTTTACTTTTGACAGTTGAAATAGAACCTCTTCCTCTATAAATGCACATGTAACAAATGACTCATTTGTCCTTTTTCCTAACTGAGGCCAGCTAGACCTTTATCCTCTTCTACATACCTTCCTTCTTTTGTTTGTAATCTAACTAATCCTTGTTTTACTTTCCTATTCTCATTTATGTATCTAAAAAATGTTTTGTCCCCTTTGTTTAATGACTGTGCTATTTTCTCTGCTGTGTGTGATTTGGAAGTTCTTATAACTTGCTTAGCCTCTTTCTGCCTAATCTTATAGATCATTCTGTCTTCCTCACTCTGTTTTTTTTTTATAATTACTAAATTTTAGTTTTTTACTATTTTGGCCACATCTGCGGAGTACCACAGTGGTTTCTTGAATTTCTTTACTGACAAGCCTAAGCTTCTGAACATTGAATGCAGAGACTTACTCTCTCTATCCAGTGCTGCAAGCCTTCCTTTCAATAAAGTGAATGCTCCTTACACACACACAAAATACAACCCAATTATTTTATACTTTTGGTGTTACTGGGGCCTCTTTCTTGAATTTCACCTAAGTCCTCATAAAGTCTAGAGCCGCCTCTGTTGGCCATTATTCTTCCCCTGGAAGAGTGGAAACATTTACTAGAGAGATTTACTAGAGGAACCCTTCATGCTTATTACTGACCACAGAAACCTGGCTTATATTAGTGAGGCTACACATCTCTCTTCTAGACAAGCTCGATCTTTGTCTTTGTTCCTTTCTCGATTTAACTATATCATCAAGTATAGACTTGATACATGTAATGTGAAGGCCGATACCTTGTCTAGACAATATGAATCTGAAACAGATATATCCCTAATTATCTTCTCAGATATTCCTCCTGAATATATCATAGATACTACTGTCTTCTCTTTATCCTCTTTGTCTGTTAAAAGAATTCAGGCAGCAGAAGCTTCTCCAGAAACCACCTAACAAATTTTACGTTCCTCTTACAGAGATAAGTGAAATCCTCTTTTTCACAATAATAAATGTACAGGTCACACTGGTATATTTAAAACCACATCTGCCATTAGTAGACAATTTTAGTGGCCTTTTCTCAATCAGGATGTTGAATCATATAGGAAGGCTTGTGTCATCTGTACTGTGTCTGAAGGGCCTTTTGCAACCTCTTCCTGTGCCAGGGATAGCATGGTCACATCTGGTTATCGATTTTATAGTCGATTTACGTCCTTCAAATGCTCATAGTACCATATCACTGTTGTAGACAATTTCTCTAAGATGGTACACTTGATTCCTCTCTTTAAGTTGGCCACATCTGATGCTTTGGCCAAGGTCTTTATTAAAGAGGTTTACAGATTCCATGGTTTTCCTTCTGAAAGAGTGTCTGATAGAGGTACTCAGTTTGTCTCCAGATTCTGGAGACATATCTGTTCAGAACTTGTAATAAACTTTGTGTTTTCTTTGACTTACCATCTCCAAACTAATGGGTGGCAAAAAGAGCCAATCAATCTTTAGAAGCTTACCTTCGGTGTTTTGTCTCCCATAACTAGGATGATTGGTGTGATCTACTTCAATGGGCTGAACTTGCTTGATTTGGCAATAACTGAATGATCCACTTGGCATAGTACAGGTGTAGAACATATGTTGGTAACTATCCTAATACTTTTTTTGGTATTGGTTAATAGATTTGTATTATTGTTCTGCAGATTCTTAGTCCTGAGACTTGTAACAAGTTTTAAAATGTATATTCATTCTGGCAACTAAGTAAATAGAAACTATTTCAGAGTCAAATACAATCATAAGGAGATATTTCTGATTGATTTAGAGTCTTGTTGATATCTTTAAAGGGATTCTATAGTGCCAGGAAAACAAACCTGTTTTCCTGAAACTATAGGATTTTAAGGTCACCCCCCTCGTGCGCCTCCTCCCGTGGGGCTCCCCTTCAACCACTTACCTAAATCCAGCACCAATGTCCCTCGGTGTTTGGTCAGACTCCACCCATGCTCCTCCCCACCAACGTTAGCCGGGGAGGACCTAATGCACATGCGTGGCAATGGCCGTATGCGCTTTAGACCTTCCCATAGGAATGCATTATTCAATGCTTTCCTATGGGGGAAATCTGACACTGGAGGTCTTCATGCAGAGCGCTAGGACACCCAGCATCAGATAACAGACCAAAAGTCCGTTTGGATTCCGGAAGCCCTCTAGTGGCTGCCTAATAGACAGCCACTGAGGGCAGACCTAGAGCTGCAATGTAAACATTGCACTTCTCTGGAAATGCAATGTTTAACATTGCAGCACTAAGTGCAAAAGGGTCACATCACTCAGACCACTTCAATAAGCTGAAGTGGTCTGGGTGCCTACAGTGTCCCTTTAATATTTGAAGGACCTGTGGTTTACCTATGAAAATAGTGATCATCTAAGTTTGGATTTTCACTGATTATGTATGAAAATGACAAACATATGTGATCAGTTGATGTGATGTTTTGATCTAAATGTCAGAAATATGGTTTGACAATATAGTTATGCTAGTTAAACCGCCTTATAGCATGTCTTTTTCCTGATGTGAATTGTTTGAATGATTTAATTGCCCACAGTTCATCATTTGATTTTTGTCTTTTGTATTTTATGTATATATGTAAATAATTTATCTTTGTGTGATGTAAGTCATGTATATTATACCTAATTCACAATATGAATCCAACTATAACAAATAAAGTAACAATTCCTTTATGATTCCATCATTGCTATTTTTTATATTTAGCATTTACAATTGTCATTGACAGCCGCTAGAGGCGTTTCCGGTGTTCTCACTGTGATTTTCACAGTGAGAAGACTCCAGCGTCCATAGGAAAGTATTGAGATCCTGGATGCTACTTTGATTCATTATTTTCCAGTGAACACAGTATTTTGTCCAGACGCTGTGCTAAGGAAGGGGAACAGACTTACCGGGACAAGCTTAGAGAGCATTTGAGATTCACTTTTTTAACTTTTTCCCAACTGGCTCCTAGCACTGCTGGCAGGCAATTAGTTCTGTGTTTATAAATCCAGGCCCTGTTTAAAGCATCCCAGTTTGGATTTGAAGCATTTGGGTCTTGATTTCAGCCATCTGGTGGTGTTCGGTCCAGACTTAACTCTTATTTGGAGGATGTTTTGCAAATCCAAACAATGTTAAGTAGTGTGAACAATGTCTGAATTTTGCAGTCTGAAGGGCTTTAGTTAATAACACTGAAAGGGATTGTTTGGTATGTTTCTTTCAGGGAAAGGGCTGTTCTGTGTTGTGTTATGTTTGCTACTTGTGTGCATTAGAGCTTGTACTTAGTTATGTTGGCCACTGTATTGATTTTTACATGAATGGATAGTCATTGAAAAACATTCTGGGTGTCACATTCTGGATGATGCCTGGGTTCATCAAACAGCTCTGGCAGTAGGGGAAGTCCATCTTATGTTGTTAAGATACTGTCAGAGATGCTTTCTGGAATTCTAAATATTTGCTGTCTTTCATTCTCTGCATAGCTGTGTTAACAAAGCATGATCAAGTCTAAAGATCAGGGAAAGGTGACTCAATGGAATGGCATAGGTAATTGAACAACCATTTACTTATTGTTTAATCAATATAACTGACAAGACATTTCATCCATTTATTAATGTTAATATGCTATATTTGTCTAATGAAAAATAAAGGTTGAGCATATGTAAATAATATAACAACACATAATAATATTACATGTTAAAACACAAGGTGGCAGTATTGCACAGATTCACTGAAGTAATTTTTTTTTTTTTTTTTTAATGAGAATCAATGAAAGCATTCTATTTATTTGCAATTTATACAATTTTAGCATAGTTAAATAATAATAATAATAATAACAAAGTATTCAACCAGGAAAGGTACATTCAGATTACTCTGGTCTTCAAGTACGTCCTGGCGATGTTACCTTAGCCCAACATTCATGGGTTGTTACTATTACCCAATTTAATGGTACTCATTTTATCTACCTCGGAAGGATGAAAGGCTGAGTCAAGGGTTGAAAAGATGTTAAATGTTCATAATTACTGAGCTGTTTTTGTTTCTGAGCTCTCTTAAAATTACATATATTTAAAGAAATGTTACTGGAAACATATTTTTCTTTTGCAGAGTTCGTCAAAATAATTGTTTTATGCAAAGGGTACATATTAAATTTTTCACAGCTAAACATGGTCAAACATTAGCTGAATTGTTCTTTTAAAATTTAAGAAATGTGTACGTTTGTCCTATATTAATACATTATTTCCTTTCAAATTATTTTTTGGGAATTTTAAAAGATATAACAAGTTACAGAAATAATTTTTTTGTGAATATAGACAATATGGGGGAAATAACAACAATAATATATACATCCATAATATATATGAGAATATATAATATATTGCTTCTTAATGCGTTTCGTGTGCTTGAAGCACATGTACTCATATAAATATACATTCATTTTTACATAAAATATAAAACTAATATGAAATCACAAGAATATGTACAGAAGATAACAATGAAAAAGAAAAAGCACAAAACAATAATAATAACAATAAATAAAAACAAATAAAACAAAAACAATTTCATGTTGGTCAACCAGGTGACACTATCTCCGACTGTACTTTTTTACCATGTCCTCCTCCCACATTGCTCATTCATAATGTAGATTACATTATTTTCAGACATGACCATGAGGAACAGAGTAATATTTTTGCTGGTTGTAAATATATTACATGATGAATTTACTATTTATAGAGTTTAATGTTCTTAGATGAATGGCTGGAATGTCGGTCATTATAACGGACCAATTTTACTTCCTACACCAGGGCCATTTGAAGGGATACAATGGCCCAAGCGCACCCCCAGACCTGCTTACCTCCATCCTGCTGTCACAGAAGGAACTCTTACAGTCACAGTTAAGGAGATCTACTTTTTAGAGAATCTGCACCTAATGAATATCAACCAGGAGGCCTCCTTGAATACATTAGGTTGAAATTTAACCTAGACTCTATTACAGAACGATTTTTCATTATTTTTTTTTCGCATTTTGCATTTTGATTTTTTTTCTGTATTGGATCTACTACTAAACACTCAGGATTGGGACGGTTCATTAAACTCTTTAAGTATACTTCAGGAACTCTGTTTCACAGATTACTGACATCTGTGTTTCCTCTATTTATCCAAGTTATCTGCTTTTTGCATAGGAATTGTTGGCAGGCAGTATTGTATATGTGTATTTCTTTGCACTTTAGGTTATTTGTATATAGTTATAGCATTAATGGTGATTTGGCACTTAGCACTTTAAGTGTTGTTCTACACTTTAAGCACTTTAAGCACTCTTTCCTATGTTACTATGTTGTGTTAATAAATAGAGTTGAGCAAACTCGAACTGTAAAGTTCGGGTTTGTACCGAACATTATGGTTTTTGGACCCCGGACCCGAACACGGACATTTCAGTGTATGTTCGCGTTGGAGTCCGGTGTTTGGCGATTTAATGGCGTGATTTGAAAGGCTGCAGGGCAGCCAATCAACAAGCATTTGACTTGTGTGCCCTTAGCAGCCATCACAGCCATGCCTTCTAATGGCATGGCTGTGATTGGCCAGTGCAGCATGTGACCCAGCCTCTAAGCTGGAGTCACGTATTGCCGCACGTCACATGAGCTCTTATTAGTGTAGGGAGAGGATGCTGCAGCTGTGAGGGACAGATTAGGAAAGAATTCTGGTGTTGAATCTGCAAACTACAGTGATTATTTTTTGTGGGTTCTATACTACATTTTTGTACCCTGCCCTGAGCCCCGTGCCACAGAGAGTGCAGTGCACTTGCAACTGCATGTGTGCCAGGCACATTACTTTAATCCTGTTCTTGTAGCTCAGTGAGCAACATCTAGGCATTTTTAAATACTGCAATTTTTTTGGTGCTAAATAGTACATTTGCGTACTGCATTTCTTGCAGTATAATAAAACCCTTAAATATTACTGTTACATTATTGGTTTACAAAATCACACTTTTTTGTGCTAAATAGTAAATTTGCGGCCTGCGGTGCACTTCATATCTGAGAGTCAAATAGAACCGTCAGATACTGTGGTTACATCGCAGTTTGACCAATTCAATTTTTTTTGGGTGCTAAAAAGTAAATTTGGGGCGTACACTTCATATCTGAGTCAAATAGAACCGTCAAATACTGTGGCTACATCGCAGTTTTAAAAATTAATTTTTGGGGGGTGCAAAATAGTACATTTAGGGTGTGAACTTAATAACTGAGAGCCAAGTAGAACAGTCAAATACTGTGGTTACATCGCGGTTTTAAAAATTAAAATTTATTGGGTGCTAAATAGTACATTTGTGGTGTGCACTTCATATCTGAGAGTCAAATAGAACCGTCAAATACTGTGGTTACATCGCAGTTTTAAAAATGTAAAAAATTTTGGTGCTAAATAGTACATTTGGGTTATGCACTTCATATCTGGTGTATGTGTGCAACACTGGTTAGTTACCGCTTCTCAAGAAAGTCTAAAGACAAATAAATGTTGCCTATGGTGCAGGTAGTATAGAAGGCAAGACTGAGACAAATCATTCAGGTTACGTTTGCCTGTTGACCATTAAAGTTCAATAATCAACTAGAAAAGCTACAATTTCTGGGGAAATTGTGTGACGTGTTCTTGCCTCCACCAGTAGTCTACAACTGGAGTGGGCAGAGTAACTGTTATCATTTATATAGCACATTTAATTGCAACGTTGTTGCACAGTTACATTAAACCATACATTTATAAAAACATTAGCAGGTGTTCAAAAGGCCCTGTCTATGACATCACTTGATGCAGCCTGGCATAGGTCAGAGTATTTTGGCGGTTTCAGCTTTTGCCAGCTCCCACTCTAGCTTTGCCATTCATTCCTATGGGACAAATTGCGCCACAAGAACGACGATATTCCGTGAACCATTCGGCGAAACGTTCCACAAAGTAATAGCAATCCGATCTGGAACAATCTGCACGTTTTGGTAAATTTTGGTCTATGTAGTGTAAAAACTGTGGGAGGAGTTAGGGTGGCAAATTTGGCTATAATAAGAATAAGAATAAGAATAAGAATATATATGTGAGATAACAATAAGTGGTCTTGCTATGCAAGAACACTTAATAATAATAATAATATATATGTGAGATAACATTAAGTGGTCTTGCTATGCAAGAACACTTACTAATATATATGTGAGATAACAATAAGTGGTCTTGCTATGCAAGAACACTTAATTAAAAAACACATTGAGTGTCATACAAAAATATGTATTATAGACAAGTTAAAAACAAGACTACAAGTCATGCTATAGCAAAATTAAACACGTTTTAAAATATGTATGGGCCAACCAGTGGCTGTAAAAACAAAGTTTTAATGGTTACATTCATGACTACACACTCTAGTGAACAGGACCTTCATGTAGTTTGTTCTTTTTTTTAAATCATAATTAAACTGAATATGACAATATGACATCTAAAAAGCACATGAAAGGATGCCTTTGTCAAAGGCGCTTGAGTAGCGCCGAAACGAACGTTAGGTTTCATGCTTTTTTTTATTTTAATCACAGCACTTGGTTATATGCTCACGGGGTGGGGGAGTGAGATCTATTTAAGCCTATGTAGTGCTAGGTTTTATTAGATTTTTGATTATAGGCAGTTATACTTTTCAGTATAGAATTTCAATTTGAGATAGCTTATTTCATTATACTGACGGATACAACTTGATTCATCTATATTTTCTGGACTAATGTTATTCTCAGAGATTCCAGCATAAAATAGATTGTGCACTTTTGTATCTATCGTTCCTAAGGAAGGATACTTTGTATCCACTTTATACATAGATTACTATTCACATGCTATTTCCAATTCTGTACTGTGAGGGAGTTATCTAGTATTCAGAGCACCCAGCTCACTTTATAGTACTAAAACTAATGCATTGAGGGTGTCTATAGGGTGCTCTGCCTCTCAGTATTTCACTATTACCTTATAACTGCCTTACCTTTATTCATATATAGATCTAGGTCTCCCCTGTGTGTTGAATTTAGAAGTGATGTTTTTTATTTAAGTTTCCTTTTTCTTTTTGGGGAATCAATACCCTATAATAAAGGCTTTTTAATCAACATATATATGTGCATACCCAGAGACCCCCTATTTCTCTTGGTGTTCTCATAGCTGTCTTTGCTGGAGATCACCTTCAGTTTAATTTGTGTATACATACAAGGGTTACCCCCTATATGGGGATCTGTGGACACACTGCAGATTCCGATTGCTAGGAATCTTACAGTTTTTTTTTTTTTTTTAAATCATACAGCATCCTTTCATGTGCTTTTCAGATGTCATATTGTTTATTACCAATTTTTGTTTAGCCTGATTTTTTTTTTTTTTAAAGTGAAAAATAAGTGTTATTTTGATCACTTCATATACAGAAGCATTAATATACATTTCTATATTGTGTAAAGACACAACTACAAAGTTAAAAACCAAACACCAAAACAACGTGCCAGACAATCTACCTGTGCATGGCTAGTGTGATACAATAAATCTACATCTTAAAAATGTAATAACCCACAGAAGATGGGCGAGACTTTTTTGCAAATGGAACTTTGATTCGAATTTCCTACATTGGTCACTTGTAATATTGTTTCACACCTACAACGCTTGCTAAACAGATCTAAGTGATAGAAAACAGATTGATATTTTCTACACTAGAAACTACCAGATAACAAGCTGCAATATTTAAACCAGTTATCAATACCTAAGAAGTACTTAAACAATATTGTTATTCTGGGGCAATACCCTCACAAGTCAAACTGAGATGTCAGTTAATAGGGAAAACTGCTGCCTGGATACAATTCTAAAACAATTTCCATATGTCCATTGCAGACTTTACAATTTAAATTGTTCAGTGATTTTAAACATGTGAATAAAAACATATTTTAAAAAGTGTATAAATATCAAAAAACAAGCTTAAAAAAATTAAAAACCCAACTCTGAAGCATGTTTGTCATTGTGGATGTTCAGTTGGCCTGCAAAAGAATAATGAGTTATTAAAGTATACTGCACAAGTTTTACATAGGTTGCCATTATACTGTATATGAAATATTTGGAGATACAATTTAGATTACTTGCACTTTGAATCTTTAACACTCCACGCAGCATTATCACTCCAGCTTGACAACTTTCCATGGGTGGAAGTTACCAGCAGGCCCCCAGGTGCCTGAGGCTCCTGTTCAGGACCTGCCAGCACAGGAAGGTGCTACTAACACCCAGTGGAACCCAGGTAAGTTGTCAAATCGCAAGCTGACTACTTACACTGGGAGGGCTCCAGGACACACCTGGGACCATAATCTTTATCACTATTCTACAGGCTGTACCAATTATAGTGTTTGCCATTTCAGTAAGTTATTCTTTGTGAACTTTACATGATGGAAAAACACAGGTACCAACTGCTGTGGTTTTCTGCAGTGTGCAGACCGGCAAGGAGGGCAGGGTTGAGGAGTGGGCGGAAGATGATGTGGAGGATGATGAGGTCCTAGACCCCACATGGAATGAAAGTCATGTGAGTGACGTGTGCAGTTTGGAGGAAGAGGCGGTGGTCGCACAGAGACACCAGCACAGCATAAGAGGGAGCAGGGTGCAAAAGCTCGTCGGCATGTATTAGCTCTAGAATTACCACAGTTATCCAAGTAACAGCAATCAAAGAAACCATAACTGATTTAATGAGCCATTCGCAGTTTCACTGTAGCGGCTGTGTGCGCTTTCGGCATTCTCACCCTGCTGCTGCTCACCTGTCTGCGCTGCAGCGTACCTTTGGCCTTCCCGCTCACCCCCTCATATGCGATGTGCCCACAAGGTGGAACTCCACCTTGCACATGCTGGAGAGACTGTGCGAGCAGCAGCAGGCGAAAATGGAGTTTCAGCTGCAGCACGCACGGGTGAGTCGCTCTGCGGAACAGCACCACTTCACCACCAATGAGTGGGCCTCCATGCGAGCCATGTTGCGCTCTTTTGAGTACTCCACCAACATAGCCAGTGCCGATGACGCCGTTCTCAGCCTTACTATCCCGCTTCTATGTCTCCTTGAAAAAACACTGAAATTCCTGGCCTTTGAAATGCTGTCATTCCGTCTGGTGGAGACGGACAATTTTAAAAACCTGATGGCGTTATTGGACTTCAAGAAATGGATCACATGCTGCAAATGTTTCTTTTTTATATGTCCCAATATTTTGGGGGCTACCCCAATTAACCCCTTAAGGACGGAGGGCGTACTATTACGCCCTGCAGGAGC